AAATATTTATAAGATAAATATTTTACTATATATTTATTACTCCCAAAGTAGTATTATTATAGTTTTTACTATCCTATATTAAACTTGCTAGCACAAGTTTAATCTTGGACTCCGGAGCAAGTTCGTGTGGATACGTTGGAGGCTTCATACGTTTGGCGCTACGTTCATCTCCTCAAAACCATCCCCGACCGTTCCTCCGTTCTCCGTTTTCACCGTTAAGGTAAATTTCTTACTATAGCTAGTAATTTACGTAAGTTGTTCTTGGGTGGAATCGAGTTTTGGACTATAAATTTTTGTTTTCCGCTGCGTTATCCAAGCCTCGTTTCCCAACAGTGGTATCGGAGCCGGCTTACGAAGTTACTAGTTTAGTAGTTTTTACCGTTATTGTTTTTGTAGATTAGTCAATAAATTTTGGAGACAAAAATTTATCCCATTAAAAATTTAATTAGGTGGCCATATTTAGATACTGGACCTAATATAATTTTGTTCAGTAATTTTCGGAATTACTGTTTGGGGTATTTTTATATTATTCTTATTAAGTAGTTTATGTGTAGAATACTTGTTATTTGTGCCATAAATACTTAATATTTATGAAAATTAGATTTTATATTTTCTGGGAAGTATTTGACATGTCAATATAACTCAGAAATTTTAAAATCGATTTTTGGAATTAATTTCCTATTTTTCTATTTTTAAATTTGTTTATTGAATAGAAAATGGGAAAACTTATTTTTGACGATCAAAAATTAATTTTAATTCATAATAAGTTGCGACCAGAGATTTTAAGCTTGTATAAAAATTTTCATAATTTTTAAACACGTAAAAATATTTATTCTGTATTTTTGAAGTAATTGGATCGGTACTATTCACTAGTCCGATTTTTAATTATTTTAAATTGCAAAATTAATATTTTAAATTCTAGAAAAATCATATTCTGGTTCTGGAACTTATTTTTGACTTGGAAAATAAATTTTGATATTTTTGGAATTTCTAAATATATTTTCACAATATAATTTCGGTTTTCTATCTTCGAAAAATGGTTTTCAAAATTTTAAATTTTATTCATTCTGGAATTTTAGGATTTCCAGATTAATAAAGTTTACTGGGAGTCTCCAATAATTATTTGCTAATTTAGAAAACATATATATATTTAATTCGAAATAAAAGCCCTTTTTCAAATTTAAATATATATAAATACGGTAAATATAAAATATTTTATTTTCTGGAATTTAGAAAATCAAATTTCTAACATTCTGGAAATTTAAAGTATTTTATGATTTTTAATTAAATTACTTGCTAGTTTAATTAATTTATTGTTGATAGTTTATTTCGTAGAATAGAATAAACTAGGTCTGGGGCGAGCGCGGTTCGCCCGGTGTATGCTTTAATATGTATGATGTGATGCATGTGATGCTTGTATGTATTATTGCATGGTGGATGATTGTGGCTTAGTTATATTTGTTGTAATTTTAAATACGGCCTGCGTGTCGTGCCTCATCTCTATACTCTGGATGTAATTCTCTTCTTCACCTCATATTCTTTTCTCTCGAAAATTATAAGAAGACAAGAAGACGAAGTCCGTTCGTGATAGAGAATCCTAAGGAAGACGTGATGGGCCGGAGATAGAGATCTCTTGATCAAGGCGCTATCGTTTGTTTTTCTTTAGGAGCCACAATCATTTCACGTTTACTTATTATGCATGTGATGTATGATTGAATGTATGCATGTATGTGATTTTCGCTAGTGCATGCGCGCGGTGTATGCCATAGGCAAGACTGCGTAATAAATCCCTCATAATTTTAAGTCTGTGCCACCCCGACGCCCCGTCACTCGTCAAACCCAATTTAAATCGGTAACGGACTCACCCAAGTGAGACGCCCGGTTTACGTTGGTTAGGCGCGAAACCCGTAACTAGGGTACTGACTCGCCCCGGGTTAGTCTTAACTAAGTCTTGGTCATATGGATGAGAGACTTAGGGCACTGCGGTAGGATCAATAAATAAAATCAGATCATGCAACCAGAGTTGTAACTTGTTACAATTGGAATTTATTCCTACCAGAAATAATTTAACTGTAGGGCAAGATGCAAAGCACAACTATAGTTAAATAAAATATGGATCTGGCCCAATTAAGAATTTTATTTAAAAGAATCCACCGAACCAAGAGTTGTAATAACGATTACAATTGGAATGAATTCTTACCTAAATAACTTGACTGTAGGGCAAGATGCAAAGCACAACTATAGTTAAGTAAAATATGGATCTTGGCCTGCTAGGGTATTCTTCTCACGAAGAAACCCCAAGTCAATAGGTTCCGTACCTGAGGGTAATTGACTTGTTAGAAATAGTGGGAGAGTATTTAATAAAGACCTATTAGATACTTAATTCATGATAATAACTATCTTCGCAAAATTCTGTAGATGGCAAACAACAACACAAACAACCTCGCCCTGCGTTCCATTCTGAATAAAGATAAATTGAACGGAACAAACTTTGTTGACTGGCAACGCAATCTCTCCATTGTTCTCCGCATGGATGAGAAAGAGTATGTGCTCGAAAAGCCCATTCCTCCTGCCCCTCCCGCTAACGCCCCGAAAGCGGTTAAAGATGCCTACGAGAAACACGTTAAGGATGATAACCAGGTTAGCTGTGTCATGCTGGCAACCATGATAACCGAGCTGCAAAAGCAGCACGAGGACATGAAGGCCCACGCGATGATCGTGGCCTTGCGGCAGCTATACCAGGGGCAATCCAAGCATGAACGTTTTCTTGTGAGTAAGGCTCTCTTTAGTTGCAAGCTCTCTTCAGGGAACCCGGTCCGTCCACACGTTCTCAAAATGATTGGTTACATAACCAATCTGGAGAAACTCGAGTTTTCCTTGCACAAGGAGCTTGCAACGGACCTGATCCTGCAGTCGCTCCCTGAGCTGTATAAGGGTTTTGTCATGAACTGCATGATGCATGATCTTGACAAACCCCTTCCGGAGCTTCTTAAAATTCTCCAGACTACATAGGAGAACCTTACTAAGGGCAAGGGTGCTTCCGTCCTTATGGTCCAAGGCGGAAAGGGGAAGCCGAAGAAGGGGATTAAGATTAAGGCTAGGATGGTCGGAAAGCCTAAATCAAAGTCCACTTCATCTGCAACCCAGAAACCCGTAGGAGGGATTGCAAAGGGCAAATGTCATCACTGTGGTAAGGCAGGCCACTGGAGGAGAAACTGCAAGACATACCTCGCAACCAAGAAGAAGGAAGGTACGACCATTTCTTCTGAGGTGTATGTTATAGAAGTTAACATGTCTATATCTTCATCATGGGTACTAGATACTGGATGTGGGTCTCATATCTGTACTACCATGCAGGGACTGAAGCAGAGTAGACGGTTAGCTCGAGGCGAGATTGAACTCCGAGTCGGCAATGGTGCACCTGTTGCAGCTTTGGCAATCGGAACTTATAGTTTAGTCTTGCCTAGTGGTCT